TTTCAGATTTTTTCGAAACAATTGTCTTATTTTTAGATTTCTTTGAAACAGTTTTCCTATATTTTTTGTCAAAAATTTCTTCTTCGCTGCTGCTACTACGGTTACTACTTATTTCATACTCATCACTCATCTCCTCCATTAGTTCAGATATGGAACCGCTTGTTTTTTTTTCAGTTTTTTTCAAAACCGTTTTCTTATTTTTAGATTTCTTTGGAACATTTTTCATATTTTTCTTCTCAAAACTCTCTTCTTCATTGCTGCTACTACTATTAATACTCATTTCATACTCACTTATCAGCTCTTCCATTGGTCCAGATATATTCTTAGAACAGCATGGATTTTCTTCATCAAAAAAGTGATCTTTATATTTCAAAATTTCATCATCTTCTTCGCCACTATCGCTCAATTTGGAATCATCTGAATTATTCCCAAAATCGACAACTTTAGTAAAAATTTCTGGGTATTTTTTCTTTGATTTCAGTCCATAAAACTTTATTGGATCCATACTGTAATTTGAAATCAAATAATTTATGAAAACTTTTATAGCCCAATGTATCATCAAAGTAACATACCTAATTCAACCGTTTTATCAACTAAATACAACAGTTTTTAAAGTATTCTTGAATACTTGTCTGCTCGCAAATATAAATTCCCGTAATATAATTTTTTCGAACCAATTTGATAAAGAATAAATAGATATTCAATGTCCAAAACTCCCGTGTTATTTTAGAAATAACATATAGATGGCACCATATTACATTTCAGTAGGATAGAACTATGTTACTTTGAAGTAATTATGGGATATTAAAGTAAAAAACAGAAATTTTAAGTACGGTATTAATAATAATAATAGTGTATGTTTCCTCAAAGTAACCTGGGGCCATAGAGGGTTAAGACACAGCTTATACAATACAGCTCCACAACTCCGTGTCGGCGTCTTTGATTTGGCGGTCGAGAACCAAGCAAGACGGAATGGTGCTATCTCTGTTAGATTAAAGGGAAAAGTCGGGCCCGGATTAAGCAATTTTTTTATTATTGAAAAAATTGAAAACCTTGACGTAATAAGGTTGGTTACATGCCATGTTAAGTAAGTTTTGGGAAATTAAATTTTTAATTTGTTTTAAATCTGTCAAATATAATTAAAAAAATTATTTAAATATAAATATTACGAAAAATAGCACATCTTTCGGATTAGAGGTAAAATAATTTGTATGTGACTAGTAAATCCTCGTTAACAAATGTTTTGAGCTAAAACAGTCACTTCACGACAAATTGTGACTTGGATCCTTTTTACACCAAGGGCTTCAATTGTTAAAGAAATGTGTCACGCTCGTGGATGCAAATCAAGTGGTACCCCGTGTCTCTGGCAAGTGTTACTCTTCGCGCAAAGGGTTTATACCTAGATAAACGAATGCTTCGACTGAGGTCTGGGAACTCTATGGTATTTTGGAATTATAAAGAATTTGTGCTTTTATTTTAACAATATTGGTTATATTTAGATGTATTCTTATTAATTGAAATACAGATTTGTAGAAGTAATACTTTAACAGTTTTTATTAATATAATATATTCAATTTTTATCTGACCATACCGAAGTAGGGAATTTTGAAAATTTATAGTAATGTGAAATTTGAATTACAATATTACACGATATTACATAATTAGTACTTATTTTAGGTAGGTACTAAATTTGTACTTGGAGAAAGTAATATCGATTTTTACAAGAAAACTTGAAAAGTAAATTAATTTAGTTCCTATTTCTGATGTAAAACTTAAACCAAGAAAACAAATAAATAGTAGTTTGTTCAACAAGGGTGGATATGATAGCCATATCACACAAAGACGAAGTTTGAGCACGACGTCGTAGGCGGAGAACTCAATCGTCTGATTGTGATATGAACAATCTACTCGATATGGTCAGTATATTTTTTCTACGACCCACTAACGAAAATCTACAAATTTAAAAAATTATTTTAGGTTATTTAGACAAAATAACTAATTTTAAAATAATTTACGAAGTTGACTAATTTATAAAATAAAATAAACATGAAAAATTAATTAGTCGTCGGCCTAGATTCGATCCCGGGCTTTTCGCATGGAAGGCAAATGTTCTGTCCTCATCTTCACCGAAACTTTCAGGACTTTAGTTTTAATACTCGTAATTAAATTAGTATCATGTAGTTTGATTAAAATTTATTTTTTATAAATGTGGACATAATAAAAACTAAAATGGTATTATTTATCGAGTCTACACAAAAATTTTAATGTATATTCAATATCAATAACTAAAATATATATTGACAATTAGTTTAACAGAATTATCACTTATTTAAAAAATTTTAAATAATAGGAGTTGGGTGACCAAAATATGAACTGTGATTTGTAGATTTAATTTTGTTAAAGTGTTCTCACTACCTAAAATGGATATGAAATATATTCGTAGTTGAACGCAATAACATAATTTTTCGTTTTGTAGTATGTGCGTAGATTGGCTAATATCCATGCACAGATTACAAAACAACAAAGTATGCTATTGCCTTCAATTGAAGGAATATATTTCATATCCATTCTAGGTAGTGAGAACACTGCAAAAAAAAAATAAATTCGCCAATCACCGTTCATATTTTGATCAACCGACTGCTATTATTTTTAAAATTTTAAATAAATGATAATTCTGTCAAACTAATTGTCAGTATATTTTTTAGTTATTGAGATTAAACATACAATAAAATAAGTTATTCTTTTGGAAAACGTTAGCATGGATGACTAAAGGGTATTGGGTTAATTAATTCTAAAAGTGTGGTACAAATGTTATTTTTTGTAGCCAATTCTTCGAAATTATTTTAAAATATCTTTTCAATATTGAATATTAGTTCTACAAATTCATCATTTGACAGTTGCAGATTTCCAAATGTATCTGAATTGGCGTTATCATATGCCTTTTAAAAGCAATAAAAAGAAAAATCGTCTAATTCAACGTGATCTTTGTTATATTTAAGACAGGTATCGCAGGAGTGTATCCGCAAGGCTTTTATTAAAAGGTAACCACACACATACCTGATAAAATTTTTCTGTAGCAATTCGTCTTTACAATAATTTAGGGTGTTAATAATTTCATCATAAAATAAAATACAAGGTGTTCCATTTAAAAAACATACATTTTAATTTTCCAGGCAAAAACGTGACACCCTGTATATCCAAAGATATTTTTAAAATATGTAGGTATTTTTCAAATCCATATAACTTTTATTTAAAACTTTCTTGCGTGTCTACAACAAAATAATGAACAATAACGCACTAATGAGACACCCTGTATAAATTATATTTTTAACAATGAAAATTTCTTATAATGTAGTACTTATCGGTTTGGGTCCTTGGGAAAACTAAAGAATGTTTTCTTGCAGGTATAACCCTTATTAAAACAGCTTTTGACTGCACAAACTCATTCTACTCACAGCTAAAGAGTCACCAAAATAATAACAGTACCTTTAACTCAAACAAAATCAACGAAATTATAGGCTCCACGAAATTATACAATCAACGAAATTATACGCACGACTCAACACCTTGCCTAAGTACGCTTCTGAACGCCAAAACCGTCTTTTCCCTTCGAAGGCGGAGCTTAAGCGATGCGCGACGAAATCGACGCAAACCGTTGCCGCCAAGAGAGTGTTTTAGCTGTATTGTATAAGCTGTGGTTAAGACGTTATTGCAGTTGATTTACAAAGGTCTAAGTTGCATACTAGAATCTTGACCAATTTTCTTTGCAGGTTCGTCTCGTACATAGTTGCAAATTTAAGTGTTGTAAAATTAGGTTCCAGTCAACCAAGTTGACCTTAAGTCTCTTTCGGAGTTTTTCCATAAGCATCTTTATAAGAACATTTAGTTTGTGACATGAGCTTTTTGATTTCTTTTTGTTGTGAGAATTCTGGACATTCTTTTGTTGCATTGACATAGTGAGCGCCATTGCTATTAAAAAATTGAGAGGGTAGATATCAGATTCATGGTTGTGGCGGCCAAGAAAACATCATACTATAGGTTATATTCAAACTAGTCAGCTTACCTAGGAATTTCCGAAATGATAGGTGCTTGAAAAGTTTTATTATTTAAGTACCAATCAAATAGCAATTCAAATATCATATTTTATAATAGTGGCAAAACCCAACTGGAGTTTTTCCCGGGTAAGGCTGGCTAGTTTCGAGGGCACTGCAGGTAGACCAAGAAGAAAATAATAGACAGTTCCTTACTGACATCGGCTGCGGCATAACATTAATTACTTTGTGAAATAAAATTAAATGCAATTATTAAATTAGTAAAATTCATAATATTGTTTCTGTTACCAAACAACCTCTCAATGGTTTTGCTTACATTTTACATCTCTTTGAACTTTTACATTGTTTGCCCAAATGACCGTACCTAAAACGTTATAGCAAAGTAAAACCTTTTTGACATATGGATCTACTTCAAATATAACGATTAATTTTTAAATACTTTGGCAGAATTAGTGACTTAACGGTAACTAAGACAGTCTGGACGGAGAAAAATTTTGTGGCATTATTTTCTATTATTTTTCTAGATGGATTTAATTGTATTGAGCACATATGTGATATATATTTCGACGATATAAAATCAATAATTAATTGTTTGAGGTACTTATTAATCTTTGATTTATTTAATTGACATTTTATTTACTTTTCTTGGGTACTTGTTTCTATCTGTTCCATTTATAGTTCTTTTTCTTTTATTTATTTATATATTGTAGAACTGTAAGTAAATTCTCTGTAATTGGGTGTGAATCCATTGAGAATATAATTATCATTATTATTATTATTAGAAAACCGTTTAGTAGAATCCACACTGAATTTACAGTGTATGTCGTGATCCCTTATGTTGTATTATAAATATTCATCTGAGTATTCTATAATTCAAGAAAATTTTCTTATAATGCCATCACTATTCAAGACATAACGACACCAACCAGTTTTTTTAATAATAGGTACCAAACATTACAGAGACAACAGACAGTAAAAGAAACAACTTAATGTAATCTATTTTTTAAAAAGTAAAATTAACTCTAAAATCACATTTCAACATAAAATAATATACTTATATTCAGCATTTAAAGATTCAAAACTAACGATGATAAAGTAATAGTTATTTGTATTTTAAAATAGCTTATTTAGGTATACCAGCAACGACACCACTTTCGATTCCACAATGATCCTTTCCTCTAAGAATTTTGAAAGTTCCATGATCACCCCAGTCTCTATTCCAGGAATTGGCAACCAACCAGTAAGGCGTACCATTCTGTTCACCCCAACCAAGAATACGAATGGCGTGTCCTCCTAAGACTTCTCCTTCTACGTGTTGGTAGACTCCTAACAAAAAAGACACGAATTTGTTATAAAAATATCAACTATTTTTCGAAAATTGCCAGTCTTGTTAAAATAGAAACAATGTACGAGATCCAAAAAATTCGCAGAATGAAAAATTGAACAAATTTATTGAGAAAAATGTTAAAAATAATGAAATTATTTAATTTACCCCTAGTTAAAATTATTAAACTTACAAATTCAAAATCTTGATTAAATTAAAGTAAATGATAATAAATCACAGCCTAATATATCTAATATTAACCCAAGTAAAATTAAAATAAGAATAAAATATAAATAAACAAATTAAAGCAAAAAACATCCTCCGAACTAATTAAAATCTTTTTTTAAATTGCGCTACTGTCCACTTAATACATATACAACTTACCAGATTTGTAATTAACGAAATCGGCATATACGGTAAAAGCTCCCTCTACCGGTCCATTTTTCTGGATTTCCGTTTGAATTTGGTTGACATCGCTGCTAATAGAATACGCTTTGGCTCCGAAATTCTTGTCTTTAGCATAAGGAATGGTGTAAGAACTTTCGCACTGTTTAGTGCATTTCGGTGTTTTTCCGTCATCGCCGTTGCAAGGGGGGCGCGTGCCGTTTACGTGATGCTCGCAGGGAGGGATTTCGTAAGGTCGGCAGCCCTAAAAATAAAATATAGTTAATCTTGAATGCAAAAATTTTGGGTCTGAATAAATTGTTCACAGTAACACGGCCCAAAAGAAAAAAAACATGGAATGTACAAATAATATCTACACAATTAACAATCAGAATAATTCTATAATAATTATAATTAATAAAGTACAGCTTTTTCAGAACTGTATAGCTACTCCCAAAACTTTTCCCATTTATATTTTAGTTGCTGAATGAACGACAGGACGAGACCAATAACAAAAAAAAGAAGAGATTCAAAAATCGAAACTGTCACTGTCAATAATGTCTATTTCTTTTATTAAAAATTATAACCTACAATTATGCGAAAATTGAAAAGTGATTATGATATAATTCATAATAAATATTTATCCAATTTAGAAGAAAATAGTTGAAACTACAATATTAATTAGAAAAATGACTTTTACACATACACAACGTGTAAGAATTTTGTATAAAACTATACTGAAACTGCACAGAGGCTTGCCAAATGAACTTCAAGTTATTGGCACGAATTACACTAGAGACGAATTTAAAAGACACAAGGGATGCAATGAGAAGGAAGGCGAGGTTTTTATGAACGAATGGACGGTAGGTTTTTTAAATTTCCCTTTAATTTTAATGAATATATACCAAGTAAACTTAAAGCCAAAAATTGACCAAAAACAGTATTTGCTGCACCACTTTTTAATTATTTTTGTCTGTAGATATTAAAAAGAGTATCAAATACATAAATAACACGTTATTTGTTGGATTTATAACTAATATCTGTAAAAATAAGTAATAACCCAGCAAACATTTTGGTGTATAAGTCCAATTAAATAGACCTTTAAATCAAAATTTGAAGTAAACTTATTAGCTTGACTGACATGAAAAATATGAGGGGTGAACTAATAAAAACGGCATCGCAAAGTTTGGTCCCCACTTGAAGTCCATTAAATAAATAAAAATAAATATATAAATAAAAATAAACAAAAATAAATAAAAAGATAAAAGTAAATAAATAAAAATAAATACAAATAAATAAAAATAAATAATTAAGAAAAAAAGAAAAAATAAATAAAAATAAATAAAAATAATTACAAATAGTTAAAAAAAAATTAAATAAAAATAGATGATAAGATAAATGTAAAAGAAAGTATATAAAAATAAATAAAAATTAAAACAAATAAATAAAAATGAATAAAATTAAATAAAAATAAAAAATATTCATTTTTATTTATTTATAAAAAATAAAAACTAAATAAAAAAAATAAAAAAATTTAAATAAAAATAACAAATAATAAAAATTAAATGAGAAGATAAATGTAAAAGAAAATAAATAAATAAAAATAAATAAAAAATAAAAAAAAATTAAATCAATGAAATTATAACAAATATATAAAAAATTTAAATAAAATTAGGTAAATTATTAAAAATGAAACATTAAAAAATAAATAAAATTAAACAAAAATAAATGAAGACAGGTGTAAAAGAAAATTAAAAAAATAAAAAAATATTCATTTTTATTTATTTATAAAAAATAAATAATAAAAAAAAATAAATAAAAAAAATTTAAAAAATAATAAAAAATAAGCAAAAAATTTAAATAAATGAAATTATAACAAATGTTTAAAAAAATTAAATAAAATTAGGTAAATTATTAAAAATAAAACAAAAAATAAATAAAATAAAAAAAAATAAATAAAAGACAAGCGTAAAAGAAAATAATTGCAAATAGTTAAAAAAATTAAATAAAAATAGATAATTTATTAAAAATAGAAATTATACAAAAATAAAAAAAAATAAATGTAAAAGAAAGTAAATAAAAATAAATAAATTAAATAAAAATTAATAAATAAAAATGAATAAAAATAAAATAAAAACTAAATAAATAATAAAAATAAATATATTTTTATTTTTATTCATTTTTATTTGTTTTTATTTATTTTTTATTTATTTTTGTTTATTTTTATTTCTTTTTTATTTTTTTGTTTATTTTTATCGAGATTTTTATTTGTTTTTATTAATTTTTATTAATTTTTATTAATTTTTATTTATTTTTATTTTATTTTTATTTATTTTTTTTTATACTTATCTTTACATTTATTTTTATATACATACACTAATTTTTGCACTCTTTTTCCTGAAAATTGTTTATTAAAATTGCAGAATTTTCACTTAAAAAAAATAAATTATTTCCACAGAACTATGCCATAACTTTGGCTCAACAAATGGGCTTGAGAGGACCAAAAACAGGCGCAGAAAAGCTAGGTATACCTTTAACCAAGGAAGAGATAGAAAAATTGAGGGATGACCAGGTTTGTCAATTATATGAGCTAAAGGAAGAGTCATCAAAACCTAAAATTATTGAAAATGAAAAAAAGTAATAAAAGTTTGGTTGTAATTAATTGTGATATATTTTCAGTGTGCTTACAAGTAATTAGGTAAAATTATGTATTTATTTTAATAGCAATTTAAGTTATTAGCAAATATATTATATTAAACATGATTATTATTATTTTTTTTTGTGTCATTGGCATCAACTGCTATGGTTATTAGCCTCGTGTTCTGTGTAGGCTTTGTTACTGTTTCCCAGCGCCACTTTAGGAACAGCACTGTTAATTAGACCCCAACAGTGAATATTATTATTATTAAAAAAATTAAAATATTACCCCAACTTAGTTGTTAAGTCAATAAAATCTGAATCATTGTAATGTTGTATTATTTTTGGCAATAAAATAAATATAGCCACGTGAGTACAGATATTTCTTAGATGATTGCCATTAAATATTAGTTTTTTTACTTCTATCTTCTTTTACAAAAATGACAATTATTCTTTAGTATATTAATGTACCATTTTTTACTTTCCTGTCTGTTTACGCGGTTACGCGGAGGTCAGTGCGTTGTCTGTATATATTCATATATAAATTAACATCCGCGCAAACGCCATCCATGCTTTGTTCACCTAAAAAATGTTTACAATCCATAAGCATTTTGTCAGAACTGTAGAGATTTTAAAAACGTCCTTTACCTAAACGCGGAGGTCAGTGCGTTGTCTGTATATATTCATATATAAATTAACATCCGCGCAACCGCCATCCATGCTATTTACAATCCATAAGCATTTTGTCACAACTGTAGATGCTTTAAAAACGTTCTTTTACCTAAACGACAGTTTAAAAAATATAAATTTCTTTTAATTATTTGACTTACTTGATTAGTTCCGTACTGTCCTCCAGAGACTAAACCTTTTCTGACCCAATAATGCCATGCAGCACCGGGAAAGCCGCCGTTACAACCCATACCGCACGTCCAACAACAGGACACCAAATCATCAGATGATACGTGGAAATGAACTTTTCCATTTGAATGGATACATATTCTGTCTGACATGGCTTCTACTGCTCCAAATGCCTGTTTAAACAAAATATTAAAAAATTTTTGTTAGGATGCATATTTTAGGCAGAAGGACTTCAATCGATAGCCTATTGGACTGAGTTTTCAGTTCAATAAATGACAATTATTATTTATATCGTTACCTTAACATGTAAACCTTCTAACACTATACATAATAATTTTACAGGAGAAGCAAAAAACTGTCATTTAGATATTAAAAGAAAAGAAAAAAAATGAATTAGAACACTAATATCTAAACAAAATGGTTTTTTGCCATATGAAGTTAGAAAGTTTACATGTTAAGGTAAAGTATTAGATGTTGTTTATTCAAAGTAATGATGGTTTAAATAATGAAACTTCAAATATTCTATATCTTAATTGTTACCGATACTATAGATTATTCCAGCAAGATTATTATATAAAGTGGAAACATTATTTTTATGGGAAAATAAAAAACTTGGCTAATATGGCGAAATAATTATGTCATAATTTGCAAAACCTTATATTAATAAAAAAAAAACATATAGAGTAAGGTCGAGTAAGATAGACGTGTTTAAAATTGCTGTGCAAACTCTATTCCTTTTGGTATTAAAATATAGCTCAAAGTACGAAATTAAGATCATAATAAAACAACATTTTAACAGTTATTTCAAACCATTTAAGTGCATTCTTGTCATTTATTTCTTTGTTGTCCAGCAAATCGACAAAGAAACAAAGTGATAAAGAAGAAAAATAGTTCAATAATATAGTCGATAAACAAAATTACATTATTAGGAAACTACAGGACAGAAATGAGGCGCTAACTAATAAAAACTTAGAAATATTAAGTGATACTGAAGAAAAAACTACGATAATGAAATAGAAGAATGACCTAGGGGATCTAGAACATGTAAGCAGAGACCTGGTCAATTCAATCAATTATTTGAAGAAGAAATCGAGAGGTATAAGACAGAGCTGGACTTAACTAAATTAGAAAATGCAGAATTTCAAGACAAAGACGTTTAAAAGAAGATCTGGGACAACAAAAAAGTCAGTTACAAATTCTAAACAATAAAAATAAAAGTGCAAAAAATAAGCTTCAAAATGTTCAAAGTGACATAAAAAAAACTTTTTGTTGGAAATGATGGATTAAAAATATCTAAGAAACCTCGAATCAATATGGAGTTAAGAAAGCAGCTTAAAGAGGACAGCTTACAAATTGAAAGCATCGTTAAAATCAAAAATTATATATCTGAAATAAGATCCCCCAGGGATCAGTACTTGGGCCACTAATTTTCCTTCTACACATAAATGATATGCCACAATATCTTCCTGCCAAGCATATTGCAATTTATGTTGATGATAGCACAGCAGCAACTGATGATGACTCGCCAGAACAACTACAGAGCACTCTCAACACCATTGCAAATTAAATAAGAGACGTTGAACGAGGAGTCCCCCAGGAATCAATACTTGGGCCACTAATTTTCCTTCTACATATAAATGATATGTCAAAATATCTTTCTGCCAGACATATTGCAATTTATGTTGGTGATAGCACAGCAGCAACTGATGCTGACTCGCTAGACCAACTACAAAGCAATCTCAACACCATTGCCAATGAATTCACAAACTGGTGTAAGAGGAATTCTTACGCATGCATTTTTTTTCTAAAAACAGAATTACTACGGACTTTCTCATACAAGTAAACGATAATGTTATTCATTTGTCAAATCAGACTAAATTTGATAATTTTTGATTTTCAACTTTACCACCTCGTATTTTGGAAACGAGTAATGTTTTATCTACGGATGTTTAGTTGCTCTATGTCTCATTCTTAATGGAATTCCCTGGTTGTTTCGTTTAATCGATTTATAATCAGTTCATCTTCAGTGGCTCTATGGCCTATTCTTAATGGAATACCCTGTATATACCGAAAAGTCTTACAGAACCAAATAAAAAAATCTGATGTGTCCAACACATGACTATCCTTTCTAGTTATTATAGACTTTTTCCGGTTATTTTGTACAGCCTATTGCAGCATCTCTATAAACTAAATATATATATATATATATATATATATATATATATATATATATATATATATATATATATATATATATATATATATATATACATTGTCCACATACATCTATCTACCTCGAAACATTTTTCTATAGATATTCATTGAAAATGAAAATACTGAAAAATTTAAATTTCCTACAATTTTTTCATTACGGTCCATTTTAGAAAAATCATGTATAAACAAAAATTATAGAGATCGATATCGCAAACAATTTTCATAAATATCAGAATTTTGCACATTTTGTCAAATTTCTCGAATACGGACCATTTCAGGAAATTTTCACATAAAGCAGAAATTATAGATAATAATATTAGAAGTAACTTTTATTTGAACAATTTTTTTCTCCAAACATAAATAACAGATATATTCTATAAAATATAAAAACTGCCTCCCATAAAGTACCCCCCAGATGTTCCGACTTTGTCCAAAATCTAATCATTTCACGTCAGGCCGAAATAAAACTTAAGTTTAAAATTTAATGTTTTTTTATCCGTTTTTGAGTTTTCTTCAAATTTCAAAATTTAAAATTTTCTCAAATTTCTCGAATACGGTCCGTTTTAGAGAAATTATGTATAGGGTAAAAATTATAGAGAATTATATTATAGACAACTTTTATTTGAACAATTTTTATAAAAAAAATATTTTTTCTACTACCGTGCGTAAAGTACGTACTTTACGCACTCCACGAAGTGTGTAAAGTTGTACTTTTTTGCACTAGTGCGTAAAGTAAAGTACTTTTTTTCACTAGTGAAAAAAAGTAACTTTTATATTTCTAATATTAGTGGATTATGTGTACGGTAGTAGAAAAAATATTGTATGCCACTCGTGTGTAAAGTCCCTTTTTTGACTCATGTGATTGTCGCACTCGCCTGACAACATTCACATTCGTCAAAAAAGGGTAACTTTACACACTTGTTGCATAAATAACTATTTTACATTTTGTCAAATTTCTCGAATACGGACCATTTTATTATATTAATAAAATTAATAAAATTATAGATAATAATATAAGAAGTAACTTTTATTTGAAGAATTTTCTTCCCCAAACGTAAATAACAGATATATTCCATAAAATATAAAAATGACCACCTATAAAGTACCCCCCAATGTTCCGTCGAAAACTGGAGGTCGAAAAAAAATCATGATTCCAATACTTTACTTTTATCTGTATACAGATAGGAAAGTAAAAATACATAATTTGAATATATTGTTGTATTTTTTTCATAGGGGAAATACACCTATGGTTAGGTTAGATAGATATTAAGATATTTCCCCTATGAAAAAAATACCTAATTTGAATTGGAGTCCACCGTCCGACCAGGTCTAGTCGGTGTTTAATCTATATATACCGGGTGTTTAAATTAAAATTTTCCAATTAAATACCGGCGAAAATACGCTTTTTATAATGTTCCGACTCTGCTCAAAATCTAATCAGTTCATTGGACGCTGGAACAAAGCTTAAGTTTAAAATTTGGTCTTTTTCTGTGTATCGGTTCATGAGTTATGCGACACACAGACATCATAGCGAAAATAGTCAAAACGGATTCAGGGGACCTCAAAACGTAAAAATCCGTCGAAAAAAATCATAAAAAAGAAAATGTAATAAAAAAAGTGTTTTTTATTACCTTATTTACCCACAATACTTTATTTAGATCGGCATCAGTAAAAATTATTTTCAAAAAATGTAATGTCATTTATATATACAGTGTGTCTACGTAAGTTGCATAGTCTAAAATCTAAAATATGATCATGTAATATCAAATGTGTATGAGGTCTATCAAAATAATATTTTTTGATAAACATCGTATATTACTGACAAAATTTGACATCAGATGGTATTAGATCATTAACAACTTTTCATGAAGAATATTTTCTTCCTAAAATTAATAATAAAGGTTTTCCATATGCCACTAACTTAGCATATTGATTTTTTACTATTAATTTAAAAAAAGAAGTTACCTTACATAAAAAGTCGCGCATAGTCTAAAACCTTAAATTCAATCATCTGAAATCAAATTTTATCACCGTATACAGTATCTGTCTAAAATAAAGGTATTTTATCTTGAGAAAAATCATATTATTTGAAAAACCTTGTGTGTGTGTGATTAGATTTAGGTTTCCCTCGCCAGCCTAACATTTTTCTCAAGGATGAACATCATTTGTGTTATATAAAATTTTTTTTTAATATTCTTACTACATTATTTTATATTATATCTTTTTTTTAATTATAAATATTTTTTTGGTTTTTTTTTTTTTTTTTTTTTTGACACGGACATTTTGCGCTCAGGGGGTCGATCAGAGCGACTACAACACACAAGAGGACCACGGATTGTTTGGGATGCACAATAAAGATGGACAATATTTAAATCTCAAGTCCTATTTTACATAATTATATGAGAGTTTAATTTTTTGTATAATTCAAAATTATTTGAGCAAATTAATTGTGTTAGATTATAGGGAACCTTGTAACCAACTGATAAAATTTGATATCCGGTGGTTGAATTTTCGGTTAGACCATACATAAATTTTTATAATAAATAACTTTTTTTCGTAAAATTAATAATAAAAAAGTTTTCTATATGCTGTCAACTTACATAGACATACTGTGTGTATGACATATTGCTGATAAATATTTCAGATATTATGTTTTTGTAAGAAAAAAGAAATTACATTAAACATAAAATTTCACTTCATTTGTAGAGTCGTTTTTTATATTTTCATATTAAGTTTTTATTTTCATTTTTTTTTTATAAATTCAGAATTACAGTGCTATTTTCAATTAATAATAAAAATCAGCATTTTTGAAATATTAATAAATAAACATAAATTAAACAAAAAATGAATAAAAAAGCATTTAAAACACGTTTTTACGTTTTAAGAGCAAAGTAGTTTAAGTAAATACTTAGGTAAACTACAACATCCAATAGAAGCGTGAATAAAATATATTCACGCGGCGTGGGATTAAATTATTACAAATATGTCACGTGTATATTCGCTCATTTGCGTCACAATTAAAAAATCATCAATTCTGATATTATTACATTAACATAATTGAAAAGGTACATTGTTTATACAGAAACAACGACACTTTCGTAATTATAGCGGTATTCATTTAACGGCTCTACTACCATTGATATTTTTCAAGTTTCAGCCTGGTAAATCAATCAATTAAACTTGAATATTTCGAATTGAAGCTTTTTGAGTTATGCCGATATTCTCGCAAAAGGTAATAAAGACGGTCCTGTCGTTAATAACTTAATTTTTATGTTTGTGCACATTATATATTTGTGCCAATCTATGCGGAAAATACTTTTGCTGGAAGATAAATCTGTTTTTGTTGGCAGAAAAACTATTTTTTATAAAAAATGAAAAATAATTTTACTTTTGCCTAATATAACCTACAACATGAATGTAGTACATTTATTTATCTTCATGTATTTGTTTAGTTAGTTATTTATGAGAAAAAATACTTTATGAACGGAAATAAAATGTCACATATAAATGTAACAAAAAATAGAAAGATATTACAAAACCAACTTAAATTAATATTGTTAATTCCACGCTCATTCAATAGATTCCTCATAAGAAATGCACGGTACATGTGGATATTTTATAAATACGTGGCCTGAAATCAAGTGCTGCTTGTGAATAATATGTATGCACATGGCGCGATAGGAAAATTGGGTGGGTAATTGATCAATATTTCAATTTGTGTTATAGACACGAAAGTTTCGAATAAAAGTTATATGAGTTTCAAAAATAGGTATTTTAAAAACATTCTTAGACATACAGAGTGTTGCGTTTTGCCTGACAACTAAAAAGGTATATTTTTTAAATAGAAAACTCTGTATTTTATTTCAGTTTTAGAATGCTTTGGTAATACTGTATATAACCCTAGAATTTTATTAACAAAATACAGACATAAGATACTAAACTAAGGAATAGTGGCAATAGAACTGGATTATTTTATACAGTGTTTTGAAATAAGTCTTAAATATGACTAAATAAAAAAAAACAAAAATTATCAGAATGCTATAGACTATTTAGAATTTAGTATGATGAGAGCACAGTGTAAAAAATTAACACAGGATTGTTATCAAGAATTATTTAAACACATTAAAGTGTTCAATGTTAATGGTTTAATTTTTATAATCTGCAATTCCTTCAGTTTCTTATTTAGTCACAATTGAAATTCAAATTTATTGGTTGTAATTTCTTTAGTTGTTATTGTTTATACCGAATAAATTAGAGCAAGACTAATAAATTGCTTTTATATCAAAATATTGCGAACATACAGTAAATTATCATTTAAAAATAAAGCTGATAAAAAAAACAGTCATTTTGATAATAACATAATGGATGAAACATTTTTGATTATCTAGTCTAACTGTTGTATCTTATTTATTTTGAAATATATAATCAAATCTTATAAATATGCAAAACACATTGGTTGAGTCAATATTGATTCCTAATAAAAATAAACAATTTCTTAAATATGTAGGAAATAATGTTCATATTCCATTTAAATATTCCATATAGAAAAATTGGATAAACAAAATGTTTCTATGATTATTTTTTCGCATCTACAATTATTCTAAAATTATTTTATGTGAAACAGTTCCTTTTTTTTGGTATTTTTTTTTACATACGAATACATAAGATTTTCCTGGTGTTATACACTTAAGTTGTCAACATATGGAAAACCTTTTTATTATTAACTTTATGAAAAAAAGTTATTCTTCATAAAAAGTTCTGCAAGGTCTGAAACCTAGAATGCAACCATCAGATATCAAATTTTTATAATAGTATACGAGGTATGTCAAATAATATGAAATTTGCTGAAGAGTAAATTTATTGATTGAAATTCTAGGTGTTAAAATCCAAAAATAAACAACAAACTTAAAACATATACAAAAAACATTGTTAGAATAATAACCTTAAATCAAATGAATTATTTTAAACATTTTCAGGTTCCCAACATAATAAACAATAATTGAATGTGAAATTTGAGTTTTGGCAGGATATTTCCTTTTTTAGGGTTAAAAATACACAAATTATAAAAACAATCACATGCTTTTTTTACACAAACTCGCTGAGTTAATTGAGAATATTTTTTCTGGAAGAATTAGATCTAAATTAACGTAACGACTATTTATAAATTATTTTATTATAAAATTATCTATTTTGAAACTTTTCAGTATTTATCAAAACTTATTATGTTTGTGTGCATTAATTGTTGCCATCAATATTCAGTTACCGAAAATAGGATTAACTAGATTAAGAGGTTAAAGATAATTGTTAATATATATACAAATTATTGAATTTTATTTGATTCATTAAATTTATTAAAACCATCATAAAATCTTAAATTGATTGATGATTCTAAGGTTTATTTTCTCGTATTTTCTTGATACTCATTGTAGCAGATTAGGTAGGTAGGTACTAATGGCAAATATCTTATAACAATAAGAAAAAACGCATACTGACATATATTCAATTAATAAGTAAAAAACATTCATAATTTTTGTGAAAAATAAAATTTATATTTCACACTTGAAGCAAAAGTATTCATAAGAAATTGAGCATGGTCTGAAACCTAAAATACAACCATTAAATATCAAGGTTTATCTGTCTTATTCGAGGTGTGTCAAAAATAAAGGTACATTATTTATTCTTCAGCAAATTTCATATTGTTTGACATACCTCGTATACTATTGCAAAAATTTGATATCTGATGGTTGCATTCTATGTTTCAGACCATGCAGCACTTTTTATAAAGAATAACTTTTTTTCTTAAAGTTAATAATAAAAAAGTTTTCCATATGCTGAGAACTTAAGTGGACACACTGTATAACACCAGGAAAATCTTATGTATTCGTATGTAAAAAAAAACTGTGTCACATAAAATAATTTTAGAATAACTGTAGATGGGAAAAAATAATCATAGAAACATTTTATTTAGGCGAATTTTTCTATGTGGAATATTTAAATGAAATATTAGCATTATTTCTTACATTCTATTGAATATTTAAGAAATTGTTTACTTTTATTACTAATCAATATTGACTCAGCCAATGTGTTTTGCATATTTATAAGATTTGATAATTTATTTCAAAATAAATAAGATACAACAGTTAGACTTGATAATCAAAAATGTTTCATCCATTATATTATTATCAAAATGACTGTTTTTTTTTTAATCAGCTTTATTTTTAAACAGATAATTTACTGTATATCAATGTTTGCAATATTTTGATTATAAAAGCAATTTATTAGTCATGCTCTAATTTATTCAGTATAATCAACAACTAAATAAATTTGAATTTCAAGTGAGACTAAATAAGAAAATGAAGAAATTGCAGATTATAAAAATTAAACCATTACCATTGAATGGCATCGTTTGTTAACATATTGCATCAAAGTATCCTTAGTAGAGTTAAAAAAGTTATTAAAAACATCCAATGTACTCTATTTAAAAGCTCTAGAGATCTGTCTATAAAAGAATTTGTATCATAATTAGTTCTATGAAAATTAATGGAAAATAAATTATTTTACAGTAGCATTCTTTGTGACACTGGGATCTTTATCTTAGACAGTAAAAATAATACCAATTTATATTTTATAAATGAGAAAAATATACATAATCCTTCTTTTGTCCAGAGTAAGCAATTTTAGTTTATGTAGGATAAGATAATAGTCATGATCAGCAATAAGATCCATGTTAAACCTATAATTACAATATCTCAAGAATATATTTGGTGTATTTTATTTATTTATAAGGAAAATGTATAAAGATTATGTAAGTCACAATTAATAGCAGTTACCTACTGCTGGATTAACTCTATCCAAGTAAAAAGACAGTATTGTCAAAGAAAATACTTGAAAAATTCTATGTATAAATATTTAACAGTATAGGGCCTACTATAGATCCCTGGGGCACTCTGATACTCAAAGATACAAAAAAAATCTACAGCATTAAGATCCCAAAGAGAAAAAAGAGAGTTATACTTAGGATATTAGATTTTAATAAGTAGTTAACACACAAATTAATTATGGATAAAAAAAGGAGATGTAGTAAACCTTCTTAGAAATAAGTAAAATCATTATCCAAGTTATTGAGTTTAATTTTTAGATAATAAATTAAAAATTGTTCTTACCCAACATGAACCGCATGACCCTTGGTCTCTTATCTCCTGAATTGTTGGGCAATTTGGCCACTGTTGACGTGCGTCGAAATCTGTTGGTAATTGAACACCTTCTAGACTGTGTATCAAAACTGGAGGCATGTAATTTTGATGATCCGGAAGAACTCCCATTAATTTTTTAATATAAGAAAGAGGAATATTTTCTGCAAAGTTACGACCTGCTGTCCATGTCGATTGAGCTGAATTGATAGAGTTGATGAATTCATCTGATAAAGGATGTGGTTGTGGCAGTTGTATTGTTAGGCATGATGAAGCCAAAGTTAATATAGATAAAATATGTAATTTCATCTTTGGCTGTAGAAAAAAAAGTACTTAATTTTATATAGGTAATCCATAATGAATAAACAAAACACATTTGTTAAAAAATTAAATTTTAAAGTTTAAAATTAAAGCTTTATGTACAATGTTGGTTTTATGAAAAGTAGGTACAAATTACTATATATTTTATATGTAATTATATACCTACCTATCTAATTATTAAGCAAATTATTACAAGATTTATTTAAAATTGTATGGTAGAACCAAAAATGAGGTAATAAGGTAGCTGCGTTATTTAAAAAAAATGTTAAAAGCAGATAAGAAAGCACTTTTTTATTTTCTGATTTAATTTGATCAACCATTAACAAAGAGGTCAAAAATTGTATCAAAAGCAACACAAAGAACATAACTAGCTAACAAAGAAATGTTAGTAATAATATCTATATTTAATAGCTCTTGTAACAAAAAGGTTATAACATCAATTTTATTTTAGTTTACTGTTTTTATTCAAACACTTACTTGCCTTGCCTTCAATCAAAAATTCAATATTATCACTCAACTTTAAATAACAGAATGAACCTTTTATTTATCTATGAGAAAGAATATAAACAAACAGATTTAAATAAACAACACCGGTTTTTATACACATCATCTGACATCTGAATCATCAGTCATCTCATTTCTTCTTCTTTTCAATTTTTGTAGGCCTAGGCTGCCAGGGCTATTCGGCCTATGGTTTTAGGTTATATGGTGGTGGTCTCGACGATTATGGCTTCACTTTTGCATTACACAGTCACAGTACATTTATATTTTGACTTTTGACGTTCTTGGCTAGAACCATCGCCATCTATGTAATATAGACTAAACTTCCACAATTAGTTCAAACATCCTTTACAGGCATTTTTTCATGTTTACAAATCAAAATAGATGGAAGCAGGGATTCTACACCAATGAGGTGGAGAGAAGTAGAATATAACTGCTTATAAAAAAGTGTAGAGGAGCACAATTTCGTTTTGTACGTTTTATAAACAAAATTCAGGGACGGTTTAAGAACATTTTATGCAATAATTATAAAATAGTACTTTGGAAAATAAGTATCAGATACGATTTAATGCTAAATTGAAATTAAAACACGAAAAAAATCACAAATATAAGCAAGCCAATAAAAAACAGACGCCAAAAAAGATTATAACACATACAAAAAACAAAGCTAAGCCTAAAATTTGTTTTCTGTGCTCTTAGGTCAACCTCTCCTAGTCATTTACGTGAGTAAGAGTGGAAGGTTGAATCATACATAATTTCTACACTTGTCATGGATGCTCAAACGGTACTTTATCATATTCTATCCCTTCTACATCTTTGGTTTCTACGCGCTTTACATCACTCTACATGTACAGGGTGATTTATAAACTATATTGGGATATAGGCTAAGGGCAGATTTTTTGAACCAGATATCTTCTTAAAATATTGCTGTAGAATAAGATACAGTGCGTTAAAATTAAACAATACACTATAATCTCATAGTAAATATCATTCACTGAGAAGAAATGACATTTACCAGACAATTATCTGACGGTCCAAAGCACACATTTCAAAAATTTATTGAAATCTCCTTCTGAGACTTAGCCTAATCAAATGGTAGTTTTCCGGCAACATGAAAACGGTAGAAAGTTTCTGAACTGTATTACAGGTTTTTTGGAATTCTGAACACGAATCTGAAGTTTGCTGTCTCGTATAAAATGCCGCTTCATGTCAAAAAACGCAAAAAGAAACTTTAATGTCATGTATCTTATTCCACAGTATTTAAGCCATAATAGATCCATCTGAGTCACATTGGAATGCAATGAGATCGCCCCATTCATTTTCAATCTAACATATTTTATAGCAATATGTTATTAAGGTTCTATATCTATATTTTGGTCCAAATAACCTGCCCTTAGCCTCCCAACAAACATTGAATAAATGTGCCACGTTGTTGGCTCTTTAAAGAATGGTATGACAGTTACTTGTAAACTAAAAATTAAAATTAACGGGAGGTTAGTTACAAATTTCAAAAGGGTTATAACTTTGCCATTATATTCGTTAAAGGGCTAACAATGTGCCAAAATTTCATTGTTTATAGGGAATGTCAAGCCAAAATATATATAAAAATTCATCAGATTCGACTAAAAGTCAATTTTGTCATAAGAAAACTGCAGGGTCCTTTACCTAAGTAGGTTTTTAATTGATTTAACATAAATAATTCAAAAAGTATAGACCAAAAATATCGAAATTGTCATAAAAGCTTTAATTTACTACTATTTTTATGACCCCCCTTGTATACGGTACAAACATTTTAATATTTACATTTAGACTATTTACAAACTTTTATCAGGAATAAAATTTTCTGTATCTAATTTAAATTTTCATATTATTTAATATAGAACCGAATAAATCCAATAAAATTAAAAATTTTAACAAAAATACCTTTCCTACTATTACTTTTCTGTTATTTTCTGACAAATATGGAAAATAACAGCAAATACAACTTTTATCGCTCACCCTGTATACGTTATATACAAAATATGTTGTAATTGCGTGTATTTAGCTTACAATAGCAACGAAAAACTTGTATTCTGCGCAAAATCTTTTATTAACAAAATATTCTTTGCTGCACAACTTTTAACACCCACCCTGTATACGTTATATCCAAAATATGTCGTAATTGCGTGTATTTAGCTTACAATAGCAACGAAAAACTTGTATTCTGCGCAAAATCTTTTATTAACAGAATATTCTTTGTTGCACAACTTTTAACACCCACCCTGTACATGGTACATACAATTTCGTTTAGGGATTCTCATTAAATTTGCCAATATAATCAACATTATTTATTTGAATTCACCTCTATGTACCTACCTACATTTATTTCTCTACTATCTACCTATATGACATAATTATAACCATTCTAAATGTATTTTATCCTATTTATAATCCAAACAAATCAAATTACGTGCATATTTCCCTATTTGTTATTTTAAATAGTAACATTAATATATACACTGCTATAATATCGACACGTCGTCCTAGTAGACACTGCCGATTATTCCTTACAATTTTCTTCTAGTAGGCTGTGACGTCACTAACGAATCTGTCACTTCGGCGCTTCTCGGCCAATGAACGAATTTCTTTCCCTGCTTAAAATGGATACTGTGATTGCTGTGCGCGGCGTTTATCCGATTCAAACTAGAAGTTTTTGTGTAAAATTTTTGTTAAATCTAAAATAAAAACTGTAAATTCTGTCGTTAATAATATGTGTTTCAACATGACATGAAAAGTTTGGCTAGGTAAGTAATTTATATCCTTTAATATGACTAGGGTAACAACTGTACTGAGTATGGGATGCTTCTTGAAAGAATTTGATATATTTATGATTGAAAATTAGATTTTGAGTTCGATAAATGCTATTAGTTTTATTACTTATATATTTCTGTTTCGAAAATGATAGTAAGAACGTAATTTTGATGTAATTTAAGTTTAATTTATCCAGGAAAAACGAGTTGCAAGTGATAATCAAGTAGGTATGCTCTGTTTTGTCTGTCAAATCGTAGATAAATCTGGATTATGATATAGGTAATTATATTTTTCCATCTAAACTAGAAACTAGGCAGCTCTAAGAGGTAAATTAATATATTAGGTACGTAGGTATAAGGTAAAAGCTACAGAAAATGTTCTGTTTTACATATTTTTTTTTCATAGGGTTTGTGTATAATAACGTAATAACATGAAGGGTAGGTACTTAGATACAACTGGAGTTTGTATTTTGTATTTTCCTGCTATAACTAAACAATATAATGAATGTTTTTTTATGGATTTGTTTGGGGTTTTGTATAAATATTATGATAGAAAAATGATATAATAAAATAACCTAAAAATGTATGTCTTTTCTTTATAAAAATGTATCATGCAGTGTCGTATCTAGGAGGTCAAAATACCGAATAATATTGTCCCATGCTTTGCTATTTTAAATTTAATTTCTTCCAATATTAACCTATTAAATTTTCCTTATCGCATACGAGGTAAGTCAAAAATACACTGATTATTGGTTTATATAGGGTGATCCAGTTTATATATATCGTTAAGATTGTAACAGCTGATAGTTTAATGAAAAATAAAGGTACCTAGTTTTGTTTAATAAAACATGATCCAATTTTGTTTCCTTTTTTGATAGTTTTTTTATTAATATCTAAAAAGGGCTTTGACAAATTTAAATGAAATTTTCATAGTTTGTTGACAACTTTAAGAGATGTTTTACAGTTGGTCCAGTAATTCCAGAGGCGTGCTCACAGGGCATTTCTATTATTTCTTGGTACAAGAAATATCGTCCAGTAGATTTTTAGAATCTTCCATAATTTTTATAAATAAACTGAAAATACATATTTTTGCCTCTTACATTAAAAAAGGAATCGTTTATTGGACATATTTTAAAATCCTAATGATATATATATAAATGTTTTGACTGAAATATTTTTAATTTAAATCAGTAGCGTGCTGTTTTAGAGAAGGGTAAAATGGGAGTGATATTTTTAATATAGTTCAAAGGCGCGTCGTTTTAAAAAGGAAACATTTGAGTGATATTTTTAATATTTTTTCATTGGCGTGCCAATTTAGAGAGGGGGAAATGAGAGTGATATTTATAATATAACTTCAATGTGCAGTTATAGAGAGGAGGAAATAGAAGTATTATTTTTAATATAGTTTACTGGCTTACCATTTTTGAAGAGGGGTAAATAATAGTAATATTTTTATTAGAAATAGAAATATTTATTCTCAGTAATACATATATAAAAATGTGTACATAGTCGTCAGTTCAACCTGAAGCCACATGTTTCAGTTTTATTGTGATTTAAAAGTAATTCGTTGCTATCAAACCATTGTTTAGCTTCAGTCATAATTTTAGAGTTTTTGATAACTATGTCAGATATGTTATTGCAGTGATAAGAGAAATTTATATCATCTGCATACATGGCAGTTAGTAATTCGACATTATTTGAATTCATATATGATAGAAGATCATTGGTATATATTAAAAATAATAGAGGGCCTAGTAAGGATCCTTGTGGAACACCTCTTTTCATGAATAAAGGTTTACTAAGTTTATTTCTGTAATATACACTTTGTCAGTTTTACAAATTAGAAGCAATCATCTTATTTGCAATGCCTCTAAAGCCATATTTATCTAGTTTGTTGATTAACAATGTGCGACGTACACAGTCAAATGCTTTAGACAGATCAGTGAATATAGCTACGCATTGTGATTTGTTTTCTAAAGACTCCTGAATATGTTATTTAATAAAGCCAGCATGGCATCTGTAGTTGTTCTCCCATGTCTAAAACCATATTGTTCCGCAGAAAACAGGTTGTTGTTTTCAAAGAACTACATAATTTGTTTTACTATAGCACATTTTAGCGATAATTTTCAGGTACTGAGTCATCTCCTTTTTTGTGGCATGGTAGAACTTTGAACGTTTTAAAAATATCTGGAAAGCTAAACAACAGTTTATCAATTCAGATTCAGTAAAATTAAGGAGCTAAGAAAAGTGATTGATGTTTTCGGTTATAGCAAGTTAAGTCATTTTTATTTTTATTGTTATTGAGGATGCCTTCAAAATATTTATTAAAAGTTTCTAT